GCTAAGATGTACGAGAGGGTGCTCTAAAAACTAAACACTAAACCCCAATCCCAACCCTACGACCCCGGAGGCTAAGATGTACGAGAGGGTGCTATTTCTTGACCCAAAAAAAGCCAAAAATAAAACAATTACAAAAAAAATATTTTTAAAAAAGAAAAAAAAATTAAAAACTGCAGCATAGTTTTACTCGGTAGTCCTGACCGGATTCGAACCCCTGACCATATCCGTGCAATCCACACCAGCCTCTCCACTGCACCACCACGACCCTGCTGCATCATCAACGCATGGTTGTTGTATTTATACTCGGTTTCTATAATATAAATCAGTGTATTATTAATACTGGGGCGTAGCCCCAGTATATATATAGGGGCGAAGCCCCTATTACCGCCCATTTACCGGAGCTCTAGCACTGCATACTGTGTCCGGTTACCGGAGCTCTAGACACTTCCTTTTAATTTTGGCGAATTTGTGGCCACTTGCCATTGAGCATGCATATAATAGCTTAAAATGGCGGGTTTTATTTTGGTGAATGGCTATCAAAATGTCAAATTCGCCAAATTTAATCCCCTCCAAAATTACCCACTATACGGTATGTGTGCCAAGTATATTCATTGCAAAATGAATGTATTCATTGGATATTGTAATAACTTTCAAGAAAAAAATTAATTTGTTGGATGTCAACTTTCCATTGGCAGCAATGGAGAAATGATAGAAAAAGGCTTGGTACCAGGAAACCGCTCTGTATTTCTTGATAGCAATCTTTCAGGTGACTACTAGACTCCATTAGATCCTCAGGATGCTTTCTGAGCTTCCGAAAAAGGCCTCAAGAAGGTAGCAAGGCAAGAAAATGTGTTTTCCCCATTGAACTCTTAATAAACTTGACGTCCAACATGGCGGCCAATTTACTGTGTGGGTTTGATATACGGTACTTAAAAGCTATGAATATACTTAGCACGCATATCCTCTATTAAATCATTTAATCTCACTGATTTCTATTTTAGGTGTATCTAGTGATGTTCATGAAGAGCAGCAAGTTGGCCCTGCTTTTAGTCCCATTTTTCGTAAGATTATAATCATAGCTAACGTATTTAATGTTTGTTTAGTTCCTTCTCATTTAAAAGAAGATTATAATAAAATGAGCATTGAGTTTGGAAGAATATTAGCTAGTTTTGCTAATCAGGCTTTCAAAAATCGGATTTTTAGAAGAAAGATGCTGAAAGAAGAAATTAAAAAGAAAATGATATATCATTGGCAATCAAGCAACAAAGAAATGGCTACATTAAGAGATGAAGGTGATTTAATGGCCTTTCTTCGAAACCATTGTTCTTTGTGGGAGTTTAATGTACTAACTAGTTTAGCAGAGGATGCAAATATGACTGGTATTACAAAAGAGTTAATTCAATTGGAAGAGAAACGAAAAAAGCTGTATGGCGATATTCTAGCAGAGGATTTTGCAAGAAGTGCCATTGAATATTGTGGTACAACTGGTAGCAGAAAGGTTAGACTTACACATGTACTTGTAGTATGGTGCGTGGGCGGATCAAAGGCGCCGCCAGTGCTACAACTTCCAATAACCGCATGTTAGGAAAATGTAGCACTGTGTGGAATCAGGAGCCCATAAAAGAAAAAGGGAAGGGTAGGAGCGCGCAACACCCACGCATTTAATTAAAATCACTGTAGCCTGCATATCCTAATGAGTTTACTAT